CATTTAAGACAAATTGCAAAAAAAAAATTTAAGTAAATATTCCTCATGGCAAAGGAGGTGGTTGGGGAGGATGGAGGGAAGACTTTGTTGCGGATGATCAATCTGCTTTGTCCACGCTAAAAACGTCACGTGACTGAATGATCGATAATGGAGGGGGCCGCCTCAAAATATTCTGGAGGGGCCGCCTCAAAATACTAATCTTAATCTTTTTCCAGGGGGCGACTCAAACACATTTATCTACGTTAAATATCCTTTGAATCTTCCCCTTTCAGTATTAGAAAAACCACTTCCGAGGTGAAGTTTATATGTGAGAGACTAGATATAATACCAACACAATATTGTGAAAATGTCATTTTATTTTAAATGACGAAAATAAAATATGCATATGAAAATAGTTATCAAATGAACAGTTTCAAATAATGTAGGCTCCACACATAGGTGGGTAACATAAAACCGCCAAAAGCAACAGGTGTTATGTAAATAATTCTTGATGCGTACCCACCCGAACCTCGGAAGTGTTAACCTTGTTGTTGAGAGTTTTTGTCAAGAACTACATGTAAGTTATAAAATATATTTGTCAGAAGAAGACAACTGACTTACATAATGCCTTTGGAATTTAAAATGTTACAGGGAATATGTTCCTATTTAAGGGTAAAAAAAAAATAAAAAAAAAAAAATTCAAAATATAACAAAACAACAACAATGTAGTAACAATACATATATATATATAAACAAGTTACTTTCAAACATTATATTATTTAGCATTGTGCTGGACTTAAAGTGTTTCTATTTGACTAGCAACTAATAAAACAAGCAGGCTTGTGCTATACTTAAAAGAGCCTAAAATTGACTAGAATTGGCTAGCAAGCAGCCTTATGCTGAACTTGAAGCAACTTAAAATGACTAGCAAAATGTGACAAGCAGTCCAGTGCTGAACCGTTACAGACAAGCAAATCATTAAATGTACCAAGCAGCCTTGTACTGTACTTGGAGTGAGAGTAATTGTCTAGCACTAGTAATACAGCATTTTGTGCTGAAGTTATACATCCAAAACTTATGAAATTATTAACATATATTACAACAAGCAGCCTTGTGCTGGACTTGTATTGTTACGATGCAAAAAGGATACAAATGTAATATATACAAAAAAACAAAAACAGAAAAACAAAAAAGACATATATCTAAGAACCTACAAGCAGCCTTATACTGAACTTGTTCTAACTTATACAATTTTATAAAATTGGCAATGACAGAAAAGTGAATTCAGAGCAATGTAATTAACCAGTAAATGAATTGACGGCTACCTGGCCGTAGACCTTTTACAGCAATTACACACCTTCTGTTAATATTTTTAATGTTTATCGAAGCATAAGGAAGTACATGCAGCCTTATGCTGAACATGTATGCTTTTGCTAACTATTGTTTATTTCTCAGTACTTCATTAAGGTAGCATTATAAGTGGGATGCGGATATAATTTTGTGAAGCATTGGATTTCCAACGTCCTAACCGTTTAATGATTTCTTCAGAGTGACCTTGCATTGCTGCATTAGTTGCAGCTCCAATTCTGAAGGAGTGTGACTTGTATTTAGAAATGTCAAAACCTAGGAACGCAATAGTGTTTCGCAACTTTTCATTAAAGAATGCATAAGATACCGCTTCACCATTTATGAATTGAAAAAAGGGGCCCTCCTTATGTTTAAAGTGAGTCAAGTAGTTTTTAATTGCAGCAACAGGGCATGTGACAGGACTATGTTGTAGTTCAGGTAGAAATAAAGTTACAGCTTTTGTGCTATGTTTAAAACTGGGTAAGTGTATTTGAACACCAGTGGTACCTTGGGGCTGTTCTATGATTTTGACATTTTTAAATAAAAATGGCATGGCTGCTTGTATCATTGGCTTTCTTTTTACACAATTCACCAATTCTAAAAAAGCCATGGAAAGCGAGAATACACATAGTTGCAAAAAGTGTGCGCTGATAAAAATTTTGAATGGTGTGTGGAAGCGCTGTTAGCATTTTATGCAGTAACTCATGTGTAATAGGTAACCTGGTATCTGGCATTTCACTATTAGTTTTCAAGTTGGCAATGCCTTTGAATAATTGTTTAACTAAGAAGGATTCCGAAAAATCTTTAAAACCTAGATACTTGTTAATGTAAGCTAAAGAGGAAGCATGTGTAGATATTGTGCTTAGTTTGTATCCCTTTGTACATAAATGTGCTAGATAATTGACCAAATTCTGTTCTGAAATAGGAAGTTCAACCTTAAGATTATGTGTGTTACAAAATATAAGAAATGTATTCCAATTCTGTAAATATATTGCTTTAGACCTGTCACTTAAAGCAAAGTTCATAATGTGGCGAGCCTGTGGCGTTAAATCACTAGCAAGTGTTCTGGCACAGCTACAGGGTTGGCATCTAACCCTGGGGAGGCATGAAATGCTTTCTGAAATTCAAAACGAGACAAGTGATCAGCTGTAACATTACGAACCCCTTGAATGAAACATGCACGGAATAAAATATTAAAACGCAATGATAACAAAACAAGCCTACGAATAAGTTTCATCATGTAGGGATCTTTAGAAGATTGTTTGTTTAGTACGCATACTGTAGCTTCATTATCAGAGAAGAAGGTAATTTTATGATTTGCCATCTTATGGCCCCAAAGTTCAACTGCAATAACCATTGGAAATAGCTCCAAAATATTTATATGAAACGACTTGAAATCTAACTTCCATTTTTGTGCAAACCACTTGGAACCAAATACACCTGCACAACCAATGGTGGATGCAGCATCAGTGAACAAATTAAGGGATTCGGAAGTCAGCCAATTGTCATTTAAGAACATGCATCTGCCATTAAAAGTTTTTATAAATTCATGCCACATTTGAATGTCCGCTCTAGCTTCCTTAGTTAATCTGATATAAAAAGAAGGGCATGATACACCTATTGTCAAATCATAAAGTCGTCGTAAAAATGCTCGACCCGGAACAACACAATATGTAGCGAAATTGAGCAAGCCTAAAAGAGATTGTAATTGCTTCAATGTTACTTTTTTGCGACATTTTAAAGCTTCCAGCAGTTGGCATATCTTAACAATTTTATCATGTGGTAAACGAGCGGTCATTTTTTTGGAATCTATTTCAATACCATAAATGATAATGCATGTGGTAGGGGATTGTGTTTTTTCCATTTTAAGTGGAACATTTATCTCTTTACAAATCCTTAAAAAATTATCTAAATTTTTTTGACACACTGAGGATTGCGCAGGACCCACAAAGAAAAAATCATCAAGAATGTGACTCATATGAGCATTATAGTTAAATTCCATTATCCATTGTAAGGCATTGCTAAAACGGTTGAATAATTGGCAAGAAATGCTCAAGCCCATTGCGAGACAAGCATCCATAAAGTAAGCTCTTTGATCATTAATCTCCCAAGAAAAACCTAGTAAATGACGATCAGAGGGATGAATTGGAATAAGCCGAAAAGCATTCTCAATATCAGTTTTGGCCATTAAACAGTTACGACCACACAATTTGACCTTGGCAACAACAGTATCAATGCTATCATACTGAACAGCTGTAAATTCACTATCAATACTTGAATTAACTGAAATACCTTTTGGGTATGATAAGTCGTGAATAAGTCGAAAAGTATTTGGTTCTTTTTTGGGGATTAATGCCAAAGGAGAACATACTAAATTAGAAGGTTTAACAGAAAAAGGTCCCATGATCCTTCGCGCCTCAAGTTCCTCATTTATTTTAGCATCCACAACAGCTTTGTTTGAGAGAGCTGATGGATGGTTTCGCTCATTAGAATGAAAAGAAGAATTGTTGTCAAGTTGGATACGGAAGCCGCATTGGAAACCTTGAATTAAAAATTGTTTTTCTTGTGAATCATAGTTCTGAAGGTATATTTCCAATACTTTACTTCTTATTGGGGTTGTTACGAAAGGAATGTTGTTTAATTACATTACTCTGTGATGGAGCTGAAGTGGACAGAGGGCGTGGTGAGGCAGCTTTTGTGTTATATTGGCTAGTTTGTAGTCCGAAACATTTGTAACTTGGATGGTTTTTTCTGCAGTTACCACAAATGTGGGCATATTGGCAAAAACGTTTTGTGCAACCTTTTCTTTTGTTAAAGTCATAGCAATAACGCTTAGAAGTGTTTTGTGTGAAACTATCATTGTTTTGGGTGCGAATAGGCAAAGAAGTTGATTTTACCCACAATTCGTAATGAATAGTGCCCCATGGTAATTGTTTCGTTTGACGATGTGAGCGAAAAGACCGGTCATAGAAATTAAAAGCTGCCTGCCCATACCCTCTATCCAGATCTCTTATGATATTCATGTATGTTAAAGAGGTGAGAACTCATTCGGATGAGCTTGTACATAAATCTCCATATAAATGGTAAATGCTGAAATCCAAGAATTTATTGACATAGCTTTAGGAGATGACTTAGGCATCATGACCAGTTCATTGTTAGCATTTAATGTTAGAGTCATTTCTTCAGGTTTGTGTTTTCAGCAGACTATGTAGTTCCACAAACTCATTACTCCATATTGCTTGTTTCATTTTGTCTGGAATGAGAGCACCTGGTGCTAAATTATATGTTACCAATGAATTAATTGGAGCAATACCTGTCTGATTCGCATTTCCCGGAATAACTGGTGTAGTATGACATGCACTGTCTGCATGGCAATAGGGTTTGGCATGTTACATACAGTAGGCTGGTGGGAATGCACATTGTGCCCTCCAGAAAATATTTCCCGAACTTGTGTTTCCACATTTACTGGATTTCCATTGTCAATTTCGTTATGTACACGATTAGCTTCGGTGGTGGAATTTGTGATGCTCGATGAGGAAGGCAGTTCAGTGACATTTTGCTGTGATGGCGGCGCGCATGTATTGGCCACAAGACCTCTTTTCTCCATTGTCGAAATGACAGCGTCCACTATTGATATTACATCATTTTGCGAAATGGAAGAGTTATTGTTTTGAGAGTTGCTGTCTCCGTGTTGTCATCAGAACTTTGTTTTTGCCGTTTAGACTTCGTACGGGTTACCATTGGTTCAATACGGCTGCGCTTTGGTGGCATATTGTCTGAAAATTTTTTAATTTAAATTAAAGAACATACCACCGTATATGTCAAATAAAATTATCTAGCTGCCCTCCATACAGTAATATAGCACTCATTTTGCTATGACATTAACCATTACTTCTTAAACAAACATATTTGTAAAACCGCAGATCAATTCTAGCTTTTTATACATGTATTCTGTATTTACATATACTTGCATAATTAAGTAGACTGAAAATGATGTATTTGGAAATCGATGAAGCCATGTATATATCATGATAGGAACTTTATGTCTTAAACAAAAAACATATCCTTTCGTGCTTAAATTTTATATTAAAATTTAAATGTAAGAGCAAACTGTAATGTATGTATAAATATTAATTAAAAGTACTATTACAAGTACTAAACATAGACACTATTACCAGTACACATTCTAATCTGGCAATATCCTACATGTAGTTGTACATGTATGCAAGTAATTTACGGAAACTATTATATAAACTACTATTACAAATATTTAACTTAGATGTACTATTACAAGTAGAAACTAAACTTAAGCATTCTACAGTGCATTTATATCTATGTAGGGTGCTTATGTGTATTTATAAACACCCCGACACATAGTTGAAAAATCAGCCTAATCATACATATTATAATTTATAGAAGTACACTTGCAAGTACTGGTAATTTTAATGTCATTTTGTGAATAGCAGATATAACATTTGCCCCTTACAGGTGCAAGTGTCCAATACAGTATACTGACTACTGTACAATTGTACCATTACAGGTTCAAACATGTGTCCATTACAGGATAATGAAAAAATGTACCCGTACAGGTACAAAAACATGTGTCCTTTACAGGATAATGAAACAAGAACCATTACAGGTACTAAAACATTCTTCCTTTACAGGATAATGAAACAAGAACCATTACAGGTACCAACATAGTATCCTTTATAGGATAATGAAATATGTACCAATACAGGTACCAAAAATGTGGCACCTAAATTAATGAAATCGAGCATATGTCAGGCGCTACTAAATGCTATAAAGATGCGATAATGCACATACCACTTTCATATCCTTTTACTTATTATGCAAGCGAATAATGCAATCTCGAAGACTGCGAATGTATTTTGGGTACCCAATATCTAATGATAGGTGAACACCATCAGCACAATGAATTGTTTTCTGTGAATTCCACATTCCTCTATGTTTCCATAACACAACAGGGAAATCACAAGTAGACAGTATATGTTGAATTGCAACATTAGCCCTTATAACATGTTGATTATATGCATGAAAAGGTTCTATACTACGTGACAGAATCTGAGAGATTGCAACTCTTTTTACACCTAGACCCTCTGTTAGAAATGAACAATAACTAACAATATCCAATGCAAATTGTTCAGGCACATAATTTTCGAGACACAAATCATTGGAACCAATATCAATTATCACTAAGTCTTGGGCCTTTCAAGAAAAATGAAACACTGGGAAAGTATCTTTTCCTCTTTCTGCAACTTTAAACCCCCAATCCCCAAAGCCCTGATTTTGAAATTCGGGAAAAAAACAAACCCCAAAATTAAAGCAGACTTTCTTGAAAAAATTAATTCATTGCAATCTAAAGAACATAAACGTGGCCAAAAATTTAAATTTTTGTCGCCCTAATCAAAAAATATTCAAAAAAGATACACTGCCCCCCGCTAAAAAACCCATCAATACACAATTTTAAAATTAGCCCGTGTAATTTCAGTAACGCAGTAGCAAAAAAAAGAAATCAAAAATCCCTACCCCCAAATTTTTTCAGCGACACAAACCCAAAAAATTTTATAAAAATTCTACATCTAAAACTAAGATATAATAATAATACATAATAACTTATCTGTCCGTAAAAATAAACTGAAAAACGTCTATAAACAAAGACTTTGTTGCGGATGATCAATCTGCTTTGTCCACGCTAAAAACGTCACGTGACTGAATGATCGATAATGGAGGGGGCCGCCTCAAAATATTCTGGAGGGGCCGCCTCAAAATACTAATCTTAATCTTTTTCCAGGGGGCGACTCAAACACATTTATCTACGTTAAATATCCTATAAAATTTTTGGAAAGAATATAATTATAATACACATAAAACTTTTCCATGATGTTTGGCAAGCATTTTTGTCAACTATGGTAAATTTTGCCTGTGGTGTTCAGACATTTTTTTCTATATATATATATTTTTAAATTTATTTATTTATTAATTTTCAATTTATTGTATGCGATGTTGCTTGGACTCTCCCTACTGCAAACAAATATGTACACGTATTTTGTATGTGGTGTTCAGACAATTTAAGCTGTTCCATGTTGTTTGGATAAGCCTTATGACAAACAAATGTATCATTTGTCTATAGTGTTCATGGTGTTTTGATAAATATAATATGAGGTTATTTTCAAATAACATTAGCTTCTTACTTAGTTAACAAAATGATAAAGGTAATTAAGTATTACTAACACCATGGATAATTACCATAATTATTGTTCCATTTTTACTTACATTTATTGAGGTCAATATCACATGTGTACATGTATAATTTAAGAAATCATAACACGAGAGGTGATATTTACATAAATACTTATTGTCATGGCTTATTACTTAACAAATTGTTAGAAAAATACTTGTTTTAAGTAAGCACACTAATAATTTCATTCATCTTCACTTCTTTGTTATGAAATACGAGTTTATGTTATAAAATTTCTCAATTTTCTTGTACATGTCCGCCATTTTGTCATACTTCCGGTTTAGTTCTAATTATAATCCCCAAGGTCAGATTTCTGAGGCAAAGTTGATTTATAGATTAACTGTTATATATTATTTATTGATTTGAATAGTATGTTTGTACCAATAGTGAAATATTATGACATATTTATTTTCTATTGTAACCTCGAACCACCTAATTTGCATACTTAAATATGTTGGTACTCATTTGCATACCCAAAGCTAATATGTTCGTATACCAAAAAAAACCCAAAACAACACTGTGCCTCTGTCCTTACAGTAGATAAACGTACAAATTTTGTCTCATCAAAATCTTTCATAAATTCTAATAAATGTTTCATTCATTACTAAATTTCAACTTGAAAAGTTATCTTGTAATAAATTATTTTAAACGTGTTACCGGAAGTTTAGTATCGGTAACGATTTTGTTTACAAACTGTCAAATTTCTGACTTAGTCTTTTTGGGCACATTATTCGGTATTGCGTACATTTTACGGCACTTTTATTTATAGATATTCGATCTGACCTCGTTTTTTTTTTTATAGTGTTTCACATTTATACCATTTATTAATGCTGAAATCATTACAGTATTTATCGATTCATACATTTGGTCTGAATCCCAGCCAGAGTTATTGTTAAGGCCCAGTATAATTTAAACCAAAAGGAATGGCTTTGTCCTGAATTTTAGTTAGTTTTCCATGTGTAATATTTAATTGGCCGCTACCAGGCTTGTTGTTTACACTACCAGTAAACTGTTTAATTCCTTATATTTATCCTTTACGTACATACTGATTAACTTTAGCAATTTATTTGAATAATTGCTGATGTAGTACCCTTGCACATTGTAGTAAAGAGTACCCATTTAAAACAACCTGACTATAAAATCTGAGAAAAACTTGGTTAAGAGAGTAAAACAGGTGATAGTCGAGAGAAAAGTCATACACACGATAAAGGGGCGCTACAATAATAATGAACAAATGTATCTTTTGTCTGTGGTGTTCAGACATCTACAGCTTTTCCATGGTGTTTGGATAAGCATAATTACGAACAAATATATCTTTTGTCTGTGGTGTTCAGACAATTTAAGCTTTTCCATGGTGTTTGGATAAGCATAATAACGAACTTTCTTGAAGCTAAGGTAATTGAAATATTTCATTATGTCACTTTGTCATTAGTTTTCACATTAGGCAATACAATTTACTTTGTCATTGCTTTCTTCTAGAAAGGTTAACCAATTTATATTCATTTTTAAACTTTCTATCATCTTTTTTCCATTTACAATTTGTACTTATCACGAAAGTTAATGAACAGACACCTCTTATGTTTGTTTTTTAGGTATTTACTATACGTGGTCTAATGAAAAAAAAATGTTAATGAATTAGAACATATACAATTATTGTAGGAAAATCTCTACCACTCTTGCACAAGCAGTTATATTTTTACTTTTTGCCTAGACATAAAGTAATACATGCATTTGTCTTAAATCTAATAAAATAAGCTAAGTGTTTAGATAGAGATATCCAACATTTCTTATGTCCAGTGAATAGTTTCTTGGGTCTTAGGAATTAATGTTTAATTGTAATAATTCTTAATTTATTTAACTTTCTATCATCTTTTTTCCATTTACAATCCATATTTTATCACGAAACTGCATTAACAGACATCTCTAATGTTAGTTTTTTTTAGGTATTTACTATACATGGTCTAATAAAATAAAAATGTTAGTTTAGTGTTAATGAATCAGGAGATATTAAAAGAATATATCCAATTATTGTAGGAAAATCTTGCACAAGCAGTTATAGTTTTACCTGTTGCGTGGACATAAAGTAATACATGCATTTTTATCTTACAGTATGGTTTAAATCTAATATTTTTTACTTAGTGTTTAGACAGTTATTCAGTGAATAGTTTCCTTGGTCTTGGGAATTAATGTTTAGTTTTACTAATTTTTTAAATTCACATAGTTCTAAAGTTAAAAACATTGCAAGATAATAATATCTCACAGACATTAAAGTCATCTTCGATTATTTATTTATTTATTAATGTTATAACATAGAGAAATTGTTTTTAAATGACAGTGGGTGTAATTACATTACAGTGGGTGTAATTACATTACACAACTTTTTCCATCATCAGCCAGACTTTTGTTGTAAACATCATTATGTATTTTTGCTATTTGTGTCTTTATTTGTATTCCATATGCTCTTGTTGATTGTAAATGTTCTTGCATTACTTTTGTTAATGTGCATTTTCTTTGATTTGTTAAATATAATAATAGTAATTGATGCAATCTTATTACATATGTCATGATTTTTGTCATTGAAATATGTGCGAATCATTTTATTTTACATTTTAAGCAGAATAGATCTGATTAATAACTAACGAAACATCGATGGATCTACTTATTTACCAGATCGTGCTTAAAATAAAGTGGGCGGCCCCTACCTGTGGAACAGGAATGTCGCCATTTGTCATTACCCAAGCTTATACGCCGTAAAACCCAACCAAAAATGTTTGATTTTATCCATTGTTTAGGTGATATTAAAATATAACGAGGTAATAAAAGTGAAAAGGACGTCTTGTTTATATGTTTTGCTGAGTTAGAAGGCAGCAAAGAGTATCAAAATGGAGAGTGTAAAGACACCATTTTGCGTTTATGCGTCATGAAGACTTGTTATTATATGTATAAATACTTCATTTTTGGGCATACAAGAGTGTTGAAGAAGTATGCTAAACTAGTAGTGAAAGACAACATATTTTATATTGTGACCAGTGCAGACCAAGATCAGCCGGCGTGTTCGTGGCGTTTGATCTTGGTCTTCACTGTTTGCCTTTCATTTAATACATATTTTTTAAATGAATAATGGTTTTATCCAAATTGAAAGATGGACATGTCATTTAAAATATTTAGGGTGGTTAGGATTAAATGATTTTATGTTAGTACAATAGTAATTGTGTTATTTTATTACAGTATATATACTATTTTATATATATCTGACCTATGTTAAAATTAGTCAGTTACTGTGTGTTGTATAAAGCAAAGATTTTGATTGAGTTTATTTTATAAAAGAAATATTTTGTTTTAAATTTTTGAGTGTTTTATGCAAATGCGGAGTTAAATATAGCTTCGGGAAGCTTTGTTTTTTCCCTCTTGTCCTGTCAAGAGAACCAGTATTAACTTCATAACGGCTGTGTTCATGTTATGAATTCATCATTCGAAATAGTCCAATTAAATTTTAAGGATTTCTGTTATCTACTGTTAGTGCCTGGTTAAAATGCATGGAAGTTAGTGGAATAAAGTGACAAATTACTTGTTTATTTTAGCTGAGGAAAGGTTAAAGTGAAATTATATACATGTATATCCAACGGTTTATAAAAAGTGAACAGGTGAATGCCAAAATAAGTTTACATTTTGCCATAATTTCTTGCAGTTGTATAATTTACTTCTCATGAACGATAAATAAACCACTTACTTAATAAAGGTAGTCATAAACTGCAAAACTAACGTCAAACCAACTATTTTGCCTATTTGTAGTTGATAATGTTATACTTTCATCGCTAATGATCAGTCAGTTATCATCTTCAGGTGACCTAAATTATTCTGAGTACAAATCAACGTAAAAATTCATGTTATCAAGTAGCACAAGAACAACAACTAAACATTATTAATAAATTTAAACATTGACAGACATTTATGATGAATGTCACTAGATCTAACTAGTTTAGATATTGCCTTTCATTCAGTATGTATAGTTAAATATTTGAGGAAACGACTCCCTACATGATGTACGATTCGTCAAAAAACCGTGCATTAAATATTTCGCACATGATCGTCATTCACTAGTTCGCCAGTAAAACAAATTATTAATCACGCACAAAAAATCCTGAAAGTTATACGAGGGTGTCAGAAACTGTCGAAGGCAATTGCAATGGCACCAAATATATTGAAAGCATACTTGAGAACCAAAAACAGTCCACGATCGTACCGTGCAAAAGTGTCTTTAGGTTTCATTACTTCTTTTCAAGTGTCTTTCATCCGTTTAAATTGTTTAATAGCAGTAAGGAAAAAGCGTAAAGGATAGAGTATTTAAACTGAATACCATGCAATTATTTGCTTGTGTGGAATCACTCTTTTTATTTCTTATGTAAACTTATGTAAGTACCAGGAATTAAGATCAACCCACTATTAAGACCATTTTTTATAAGAACAGATTATTCTGTTAATGGTTACATGATCAAGAATTAAGACCACCTTGCTTATCCGCTTTTAAGACCAATAGATTCAGTCCCAAATCCTCATTTTGTTCTTTATTTTACCCCACCATTGAGA